GCCGCCGCCGCCGCCCGGCGCCCCCGCACGCCCGCGCCGCACCCGCCCCCCGCTCACCACCGGGCGCCGCCCGCTGCTCTTCGGGGCGCAACGCGGCCCCGCGGCCCGGCCGCTGCGCTGCGGGATCCGCGTTGCCGGGCGGCACTTCCCCGGCCCCCCAAAAAATTAATCACCAAAAAATAATTCCCGAGAAAAATGGAGAGTAAAATCCAAGATGGCGGCGCCGGCCGCAGCACCGCCCGCTCCATCCGCTGTCGGGAAATAAGTCCCAGCCGCGGCCGGAGTCCCCCGCCCCCATCGCGCCGCGCCCCCGCGTCCCCACGCCCGGCCTCACCTCGCCTCTCGCGCGGCCGCGGCGTCCCCAAGGCCGCCTTCGCCGGGGGTCCGCGTCCCGGGTCCTGGCGCCGCGCGCGCCGCCTCCGGTGTCCGAGCGCTCTCACCTCATAGCCCCGGAGCCTCGCCTCCCGCGCCGCAGACGCGTCGCCGCCCCCGGTGAGCCGTCCGGACGCCGCCCGGGAACGGTGGAAGGACACGAAAAGGAGTGCCCTCGGCCGGGCGGAGGGACACCAGCCGGCTCGCGCCACCCCTGCCGCCTCTGTTGCTTTTACGGGACGCGCGGAGGGGGGGCGGGGGAGGCGGAGAAACGGAAAAGAAACGAGTTCCTCGCTGGGTGCTCGCGGCGGCGGAGGGACAAAAAGCGAATTTAGGAAGAGCCGAGGAGAGCCGTGAAGACCCGTGAAGAGCCGTGGAGAGCCGTGAAGACCCGTGAAGAGCCGTGAGGAGCCGTCGCCTCGCGTCGTCCGCGGCGGAGGGATCCTTGCTGAGTGTCGGCAGGGATCCCTCCGCCCCTCGCTGCCCTTTAAATCGCGGCTGGAGGCGGCGTCGCCGCGCGCCCCTCAGGCGCCTCCCCGGCTCCGGCCGGCTCCTGGGCGCGGTTGTGCCCGCGGGTGACGGCTTCCGACCCTGGACTAGGGGCAGCGCCGGGGGATGCGCGGGCCCCTCGGCCGCTGCGTGTGCCGGCGGCCCCCGAGGGGAGGCGGCCGCCACGGAGGCGAGCGTCTTTGTTGTGGGAGTGGGTGTCGTCGGGCGCGGATACACCCTTACCGTGTGGGCCGCCCGCCCGGAGTGTGGAGGGAGGGGGCAGGGAGCGTGCACTCACCGGCCACTGGCTTCCTGGTGTCAGCCGGCCGTGCCCTGAGCACCTACTGTGTGCCTGCCGGTCTCTCCGAGAAACGGGGCTACTTCCGCTTCCCTCCCTCGTTGGGCAGTGCCCGCGCCGGAGCCGCGGCCGCACCCCCGTCCCGGACCCGGGGCAGGTGCGGAAGATGTCCAGGGTCTGGCACGCTCCAGGCGCTGAGCTGTGGGAAGAGGGCGAAGCGTGCGAAGCGCTGCCCTTTGGGTCCTGCAGCCTGATAATAATGGCTACAAAGTAACAGTAATGAGAGTACCCTGTAGACAGTCTTTATTGGACGGCGGGCACCGTTCTCAGCGTTTTGGTGCCGGATCTCATCGACTCTTCACAACTACCCCCCAGGAGGTGGGGACCGTTGTAGTTCTTCCTCACACGTAGGGAAACTGAGACAGGTTAGGTGACCCCTAGGACAGCGAATCGGGACTTGAGCCAGAGCCCTCATCCAGCTCCCCGGGTGAGAAATGAAGACCCGCAGAAGTTAAGTTGCCAACGACGATGGCAGAGGCACCGAGATGGTGCCTGAAGGTGTCCCCTTGGGCAGTGGAGACAGGAAGGGTAGGTTGCGGTATGTTAGGGGAAAGGGCTGGTTAGGAAATGTGGAACCAGTAAGTGCAAAGTGCTGGTGGGAAGGGGAGAGGGGGACCCGGGGAGAGGCGGAGCCGGGAAAAGGCTCCTGCGGGCTAGAGGGCCTCGTGGATAGATGGATTCCAGGAAGAGCCCTGTTTCTGCCTTGGTTTCTCCTTATCCCCAGGGCCTGGCACAGAATAGGCACACCATAAAGGATGATTCAGGGGAGATGGGGAGATTGTGGATGATCGCAAGGACTGTGGTCCAGCTAACCCCAACACACGTGCTTACCTCATTTGCCCTCCTTGACCTTGGGTAGGAGACATGGTGCTTATTCCTTCCACATATGGGAAACTGAGGCACAGTGATTTGCCAAGAGCGTGTGTGTGTGTAACAGGCAGACCGGGTGTTTAGATCTTCCAGACCAAAGCTCCTCCCACTGTGGGCACCTGCTTTCCCCACTTCCCCCTCTGGAAGCCAATTGGGGTTGGAGGGGGAGTGGGTGGGCAGTCTCACCACCCCCCAAATAAAACAGACCCAGGCACATAGGCTGGGTCTGGATCCGAATTCCCCTTGCCCTGTCCCTCTTGCAGACACAACTAGCAAATGATTGCTTTGGTTTTGTTAGTTTCTGATTTATCACTAAACGATCTTTCCCAGACTTTTATAGCGCTTGGCTCCAAATACTCCAATTACATCCCAGAAACACTGAAATTGCCTTTGCCACCCTCTCCCCCACTGGATGTCCATAGGAGACATGCAATGGGAAATGTAAAGGAAAATGAGGGAAACCCATCTGCTTGCGATGGGCAGCCTCAGCCTTGTGTTGGTCTTGATGCCCAGGCCTCAAGCCCAACCATGCAGGCACCAGTGTCCTCCCCATTCCAAGCTTTCCAGAGTTCACCCCAACACAGATCCCTGGGACTGACACCCAAGTCCCCACTCCTATAAAGCCCCCAGACTCCCCAGATGCTGGCACACTCCACTTATTCACGGCTCGGGGTCAGGCCAGGTGTTCTGGGCAGTGACTTGTAAGGGAGCAGGCCAGGCCTACAGCCCAGCAAGGAAGAGAGTGTAGATCCCAGCACAGTATCCTCTCAGGCTCCCCAGTTCCGGATTTGCCTCTCCCCCAGCCCCCTGCATTGCTGGCTACTCAGGGTGGGCCGGAGCTCTTGGCACAGCTGAGTCGGGGCTCAGGGTGTTGATGGAGCCTAGATTAAGGGTGGCTAGGGCTAAGCTGGGCAGAGGGCACAGCCCAGAGCCATCCTCCTGGGGGAGACTGAAAATTTGACTTCTCCACTGTGAGCATGGCCAGCTGGAGGCCTCCTGCTGCCAACTGGCAGGGGAGGGGTGGATGAGGACAGGAAGTCCTGTGGCCAGGCACCTGCCCAGCCCCCATGTGACAGGAGCCATTGGCATTTACACTGTGAAGCCTCTGGATGCCCCAAAGTGGAAGTGCTAAGCCACGGAGGCAGTGGGGCCCCCACCAGGCCTGGACAGATGGAAAGATATTAAAGAGGCTAAAGAAAGACTAAGTTGGCGGAAGGGGCCTGGCCAGTCTGGAGCCGTCCTGGGAGCCGCACCCTTGCCAGGGCACTGGCTGAGCCTACCCAGCCTGGTCCCACTGACCCTGCGTCACTCTCTAATTTCCCTTCTTCAAATGCCAGGTTCACCCAGTGACTGGCTGGAAAGGATTTGCTTGGTGGAATCTCGTTCCCACAGGGAGGGCCCGCAGGTCACCCTGACCCCAGAATTCCGGGCTGGGTGGCAGTGGCTTCTTGTAAATTGCTATCTTGACTTGTGGACTCCGCCCATGTGTCTCACTGGCCCCCACCCCTGCCCAGAAGACAGGTCTGTTCCAATGAGAGCAGGTATCCAAGACTACGGGGAGAAGGGCAGAGGGCAAACCCAGGACCATGCCAGTGACCTGTCTGGGCCAGCTGCCTGAGCACCACGAGGCTCCCTGCACCATCCTTGCCTTCCCTGCTCTCACACTGCTCCCCTCTCCTTTGATAGATGAGGACACCCAGCCTCTGGAAGGTCAGGTGACCTGCCCAAGGCCACAGAGTCAATAGCAGCAAAGACTTTATGGCCGCTTCCAGCAGGGGCACCAGTCTGCCCCGGGTTTGAATCCCAGCTCCACGACTTCCCAGCCATGTGATCTGGGGCCAGTGACGGGGCCTGTCTACACACCACCCCTTCCACTGTGAAGCGTGGCAGTCCTCGGATCTGCCCAGAACTCATCCATGTCTTTGCAGTCGTTCATCTAGTTGATGCCCAAATTCTGATATCCAGCCTGGACCCTTCCTCTGAACTCTGACTCCACCCCTTAGGTACTTAACAGGCATTTCATAGGCGGCGTGGCTAAAACACACACACACACATGCACGCATGCACACGTGCACACTCACACCCCTCAGATCTTCTTGCTCAGGGCCGGTAGCTAATTTTCATTCTCCATCACCAGCCTTTGTGGCTTTCTCTCCGTAGTACACATCTTACTTGTTCATCTTGTCTACTGGCCGTCTGTACCTTCCAGGCTATATGCACCTTGAGGGCAGGAGCCTTTGTCTGCCTTGTTCATGCTGGGCTGCATCTCCAGCATCCAGAAGAGTGCCTCGGGTTGCTGACCTGCCAGGCTAAAAACACGAAGGGCGACGCTAACCTTTAGCAGTTGACCTGGTCCCCAACACCACCAAAAAGAAGCCCAACTCTGGTGACCCCTGTCCTCACACACCCTTAGAAGTGAACACAGAAAGGACCGATGGCTGCTGAAAATCGGGTTTCCTCAAGGGCAGGAAAAGCTTAATCATATATTTTTTTAATAATTTCGAATTTACAGGAAGTTTCCACATATAATACAAAGAAGCATCCATCCTGAGCGATCTGCCTGTAGGTCGCGACCCGGATGCTCCATGACTCGAGAGCACATTAGGGTGTATTTCCTTCCAACTGAGATATCCTTCTAGGAAACCAGACCCCAGGGACCAATGTCAAGAAATCATATCCAGGGACGCCTGAGTGGCTCAGTGGTTAAGTGTCTGCCTCTGGCTCAGGTCATGATCCCAGGGTCCTGGGATTGAGCCCCACATCAGGCTCCCTGCTCAGCGGGGAGTCTGCTTCTCCTTCTCCAGCTCCCCCATGGCTTGTGTTCCTTTTTCAGTATCTATGTCATAAATAAATTAAAAATCTTTAAAAAAATCACATCCATAGGTGGTTGTCATTTGATCTTGGGATCCCGTTCAGATCTTCCCAGTGACAATAATAGTGTCCTTTATAGCAAGGGAACCCATCCAGAATCTGAGTTTCCTTGGTTGTCAATTCTCCTCAACTTCCTTCTGGAACATTCCTCCCTCTTTCTTTGATTTGCATGCCCTTGGCACTCCTGAAGGTTACAGACCAGTCATTTTGTAGTACGTCCTTCCATAGCAGTTTTTCAGATGTTCCTTATGGTTCGATTAAGGTCAGGGATCGTTGAGAGGATGTCTCGGGAGCGAAGCTGAGATCTCATCGCATCCTATCGGGTTGGCGGAGGATTTCAGTTTGCCCCATAAATGATGATGTTCACTTGGGTCACCTGACGAAGGGATGTCTGCCAAGTCTCTCTGCTGGGGAGTCACTAGTTTTCCCTTTGGACTCTGTGGAAAGGTGTGTAAGGGGATGCAAACACCATACTCC